TAAAACAAAACAAATGATAAGTAAGACAAAACTTCACGATGCCATTTTTAGTCAAGCAATTCTTCAAACTTCAATGAACCAGAACTGAAACTGTTAACTCGGTCGAATAACGTTTCAATACTTATTGCTTATTCTTCAATTGTAATCATCATTATTCAAAACTGTATAATTTTTGCTAATAATAGAAATAGATTTTTTTAAATAAAACAAAAAATTTACACTATTAATTCAAATAATTTAAATAAATAAAAAAATAAATTATTTTATTATTATTTTTTTATTATTATTACTATTTTTAATTATATTAACAATTATTATTATATTATTATTATTATTATTATTATTAATATTATTATTATTTTATTTATACATTAATAAATAAACAAAAAGAAATAAAAAATAATGAATTATTTTTGATTAATAAATATTTTTATAAACGATTTTGCTCTCGATAATAAAAACAATAGTAAAGAATAAATTACCGTTATTGAATAATCGAATGAAGCATTCAAATGAAAAAAAAAAAATTATATAAAACATGCGGGTAAAATGAGTATAGACTTCCCTCCCTTCCCCCACTTATTGCATGTACATATCATCTCTCGTATGATGCTGGAATCATTACACAGCTTCCCTTCTGAAGAATATAGTATATATATATATATGTGTACTTCCTGTTTATCTGACTTGTTATAGTTTAGACTAAATATGTCTTGCTTAAATAAACTGTATGGAACAAAATAAATTTAACATATGAAAAAAAAAAAATTGCCAATTAAAATTAAAGACATCTCTCAAATTATAATACTACAAAAATGAATGTTTTATTTTTAAGACACTTTTGTCTTGATTTTTAAGACATTTTATGAGTGTCTTAGATATATATATAGGACAGTGAAGAAGTAAAAATTATGAAAATTCCTGATTTTTAGTGTTTAATTTATATTTAAAAACTAAGGATTAAATAATTTAATTTTTTATATTTATCTTAATGTAACAAAATTTTTGCATAAATTATGCACGTATTTTATACAAAAGAAAAATAAATTGATAATATAAGCTGTTTTTAGAACATTGGTAAAGTTAATTATTTTAATTGTCCATTCTTTTCAAATGACATGTCACAGTGAGCGTGGGAGGATCTTGAAAAAAAAATATGGTTTACATTTGTTTCTCATCGGTTTATTTCGGTTTCTATATACTGTCTAGGTCACGGCTAAAAGGTCTGTCAAACGGTATTTAACAGAATCAGAACCAGTGCTACCATTTGCAGAAACATGAAAAGAATTCCTGTAAATTTTTTTTTTTATATTATTTTAAAAAAATATTTTAATTATAATAACTAAAATAATGACTAACTCTCTAAATCTGAATTAGTAAAAATGTTTACTAATTTGAATTAGTGACTCACTTTTTGCTTCTGAATTAGTAAAATTGTACTAATTATTAGTAACTTTTACTAACAATTAGTAAAATTTAACTAATTCTAAAGCAAAAAGTTAGTCACTAATTTCAATTAGTAAACATTTTTACTAATTCAGATTTAGGAGAGAAAATAACAAATAAAATGATAAATAAAATAACAAATATTTGCAAATAAATTATTAAGATGGAAATGTTGTTTGCAATAATTCAATAATTGAAAATATTTAATTTTTTCCATTATTTTCATTGAAATTTTTCTAAACCAGAAATTAATTTTTTTTTTTGCCATTAATTTAGCATTATTTATTTGATTTTTATTATTAGTAGTAGTCACTTTTAATAAATATATTACATTTTTCTTATCATTGTATTTTTATTCTCATATCGTTTATCATTAATTAATTACTTATTAATTTATTGCCATATTTATTCCTGTTATCGAGAGTAAATAATTATTAAGTTTTTTTTTTGTTTTGTTCTCTGTGCCCGTGATGTGTAAAGAAAATCTGTAATTGAATGACTAATGCTTGCATACTGAAAAAGTCAACTATTATACTGAAAGAAAATATGAAAATTTTCAAGATGAATCATTTCCTGTGTGCAAAGAATTATAATAGCTATCGATCTATGTTATTTATACTTTGATTTTTCAAAATTTTTATTATCAAAAAAAAAATTTGAAAAACAAAAAAAAAATACTATATTCAAAGGGATATGAGTAAAAAAAAAAGAAAGGAAAAAAAAAATTGTTACATGATGACGTGATGTACGTTTATCTTCTACTAATAATGACATTTTTGAAGAAGTATGTTCGTTCAGAAATGCCAACTTTCTTATCATTTGTATATAGGCTTATCATTATCAAACAATAAGAATTTATATAAAATGTCCCATATTTTCTATAATTTAAAATACAATTGTTAAAAAAAATAAACTATTTTTATTATAAATTAAATAATTAATATTTTAATAATTAATTAGTAATTAATTAGTAATTAATTATCAATTTTTTAATATCAATTTTCTTTAATTTATAATACAAAAAAAGTTTTATTAAAATAGATTTTATCTGACGACCTTATAAATATATGTCTGAAAATATTCATTTGAAAAAATATACGGGTCAGTATATATAATTCAAACCAACAGATTTTCAAATATTCAGTGTGATATTGAGATTTTTTTTATATCAACAGATAAAAATAGTATAGCCAATTGATTTTGATTTAATATAAAAATTAAAACCAGATTTGCATTTGATTTCGAAAGAGTATAGTGGTTTTAGGTCAATTTTTTTTTTTAAATATCAAATAAATTTTTAAATAATAATATAAGATAAATCGCGGAGCAAAGTACAAAATGGAAATTGCATGAAATGAATAAAAAGCTTATAGCGTTCATTGACATCGCAGTTTATTACTGACATTATTAGTTCTGTCAAAGCACTGAAAGGCACTGTTTTTGCAAAATACAATAAATGACACAAGTAATTTATTAATAGACTTGAGCTAATAAATCAATTTTATTTTTTCAATAAAAAAAAAAAAAACGTATCTTTTTCACAGTTAAAAATCTAATGTAAAAAAAGTCCCGAAGAAAGAAAAATTTATTTTAAATAAGAAGCTAAAAATAATATAAAAATAAATATAAAATAACAATTAATTAAATTTTACAATAATTTATTTAAATATTTTAAATAACTTTTCAATTTTTCTTTTTTCACAAATGTATAAATATTTCAATTTTTTAATATGAAAAATCTGAAGAAAAGGAAGAAATCTACAAGAATTGCAATTAACGTAAAACATTGATGATGTAACGTTCTTATGAGGCATTTCTGCCTTTTATATTTACTTGGACACATGTACACTTTTCACTCTCGACCAATAAATGAACAGAATTGTGGGTCATTACACAAAACTAAAATAGGCGTCTTACGTATTTTTGTACAAATTAATTTCTTCCCGCACCATCAGGTCAAAAATGTAGAAAGTTTATTAGACACAAATTATAATGAATAAAGCGCTGAAATATAGATTTTTTTTTATTTCAAAAAACTAAATAAAAAGTTAAAATATTGAAAATTTATTTAAGTAATTAGGATAATTATTTAATTGAAAAATTAACTAATTAATTATACATGTTTAAATAACTAGGCGCAATTAAGTAGAAAAATAAATAAACTAACAAATTAATAAAATAATTAATTAACTAACAAATTAATAAAATTATTTATTATTAATAATAATTAATTAAATATTTAATTAACTAATTAATTAACAAATTTATTAATTAAAATATTTTTAAAATTAATTTGATATTTAAATATTTTTAAAATTAATTTGTTATTTAAATATTTTTAAAATTAATTTGTTATTTAAATTTAAAAAATTTAATTAAATTGCGTTTATAAAGATAACAAAAAGAAATTTGTTATTTTTATAAAAATTTTCTCTGTTTTCAGTTCTTTTTTTTGCTTCTAACAAGAAAAATGCTGAGGAGAAATTTCGAAACAAGCGCCCACTTTCCAGTGTGTTATATTTTAATAACAATATAAATATACTTTTGACAACATATATATATATATATATATATATATTTCTCTCAATGAAACCAAATACATTTTTATTATTAATTTTAAAACTTAACAAAATTTTTTTCTCCACTTGATTCTTCGTGACAAATAAAATATAACTAATAATAATAATAATAATAATAAATAATAATTTAAACATTTAATAATAATAAAAATTATAAACATAATATTATTTATTTGCTCTATTTGAAAGAAATTAAATTAGTGTATTAAATTATAAATACACGTTTTAATAAAAGATTAGATTATGATAAAAAAAAAATTAACATTATAATAAATTTTTGACTTTTTTTTTGTAAATACGCATTATGTAGGAATTAAATTAAAAATCCTCTAAAGTAGGGCATCATCAAATACCTCGTGTATGAGAATTAAAATAAATTTACCGTTACTTTTTCAAATTTTACTGAATATTTAGGAGAGAATATTATTTTCCCACAATATCCGTGTATGTATATATTTCAATACAGTGCAACCTGTCGAATTGAAATTGGGGCCATGGACGCATTCAAAGTATATCACATTGTATAATTTGGTACTTCCTTTCACAAAAGGGTGAACTGGCTATTCCATTCAATCGCCTCTATATTATACATTATCGTGTTGTGTCGATGACATTATAAACAAAAAAAAACGCGCACTTTTTTTTAAAATTCTTTTGTCTCTTTTGTTTTGCTTTACTGCAAAAATCATTGTTTAAATTGTATAAATTTTTTATTTCCATATTTGTTAATATAGAAAAAGAACTTTTAAATTACAAAAAAAAAAACAATTTTTAAATTATTTAAAAATAAGATAAAGAATTTCTTTTTATCGCAAAGATTTATTGCGTTGCTATATATAAGAGAAAAGCGTATAAGAAAACGGGTTTTTAACTACCTTTATATATACTATGAAGGGGAAAATTTTTTTGTCAGATCAAATTCTTTTGTTATAATACAGTATTTCTTTATAATTAAAAAAAAAAATGTGTACTCACATTTTTTTTTTCGTGAAACTGCAATGTAATCCAAGTAAAATGCACACTATGACTAAAGAGAACTTGTTTTTAAATTTAAAAGCCACGCACACTAATGTAAACTTGTGAGAAATATGCACACGATTGAAAACTAGTCAAGCCACTCACGCTCACGCAACAGCGTTTCTCATTCGACTGAAAACTGTGAATCTGAATTTTCTTGAAACTATCTCTTGAAAATGATCTAAAGCGGTGAATGGATCAACTTTGAATTCAAATAATTTTTGCCCTCTATATATCTTCGGGGATTTAGAAAATTTTTTGTTACCAACAGTCGATATTTCAATGGGGGGGGGGGGGAGAATATGCATCAATGCTTGTTGTGAAGATATGGTTCAGGGGCCAATTACCATCATTCGGTAATATAGAAATCATTTCCCTAACTTTGTACTTTGTACTTTGTAGTATTAAGAAATAAAATACAAGGAAAATAAAATAAATCCTGTTAGTTTGTATCGAAAATAATTTTTTTTTTATATAAATTACATAAATGTGAATTTTTTTGCTATTTCCAAAATATGCGCAGCTAGGTAAAGAAGAACAGTTACCGACTGAGAGTAAAATTTATCGTCACAAGATAATGAGAGAAAACAATGTTTAACAACAGGAATTTTGAACAGTTACCGACTGAAGGTCAAACTTATCCTCGCAAGATAAAGAAGGAAAAAATATTTTTAAAACTAGGAATTATGAACAGTTGATAATATTAAATTTATCTACCGCCGTTCAAATATTGACCAGAAACTTTATCTTCTTTTGGTAAATTATGTAGAAAAATTATTTTATAATAAAAAAAACCTTATTACCAAAGATATTTTATATATTAAATAATTTTCAAGTGTTTTTTTTTTTTTATTAGAAAAATGAGAAAACAATTTAGGAACCATTTTTTTAAACTTTTTTCGCAAAATAAAATCAGAAAAAAAATTTTAAAGTCTACGAGGAATATTGAGAAGTAGATAAAACCATAGAAGTTAGTAATACAAACTTCTCATTTAAGAAACTAGGAAGTCAATCGATTTTTTTTTATAACTTTCCCTAAGGGCTGAGTGACATTCACGTCCTAATTTACCAAATTTATTTTATTAGCAAAATTTCCTACAAAAAAAAAATTTTTTTTTATAATTTTGAAAATTTTTCCTTTATTAAAAAAATATTATTTTACAATAAAAGAGTTTTTTTTTTTTATCCAACAAATTTTTTTCTTAACTCAATGTAATATTATTCTTTGTTGCTGTTAACAAAAAAAGTTTGATAAATTAAATGAAAATCCATATTATTTCGATGGATTTTTTAAAAATGAATTTTTTTTTGAATTAGATTTTTTTTTTTAAAATGGTATATTTATTTTTCGAGGAATATATAACCCAATTTCGTTATTCGTATCAATTACAATTTATGGAAATAGCAGAGAACTATATAAAAACTCTCATTGAATGGCCAATGCTTTACAATATCTCGTTTATTAGTTTTTGCGGGAGAATGCAGTTATATCGATATCAGATTTTTCAGAGCAAATGGTCTGTCCTCAATCCACTTTTCCAATGGAACAATGCGCATATTTTTTCTGAAGCAAATAAAATTTTGTTATCCTGACTGAATTATAGTGATTACGTGTTGGATTCACAATCAAGACGTTTTTAATCGCAAAATTTTTGAATATTTAAAATATTTCTCAACTTTATAAATATAGTGATTTTCCTGTAAAAATTAATTTTCTATATTTTTTATAAAAATTTTTTTGCTACCGAAATTTATTTATTTATAAATAAAATAAATATTATACAATATTTTGTTTGATTAAATTCAAATAAATATTTATTTGATTTCAATAATAAGCTCTTTTTTTTATAAATTATTTACAAATTATTATTTTATAAATGTTTCGAATCAACCAAAGATTTTATTGGGACAAATAAATTTTTAATTGATTTAATCAAAATTTTGGTAGTAATTTCAGAAACAAATAAAAAAATAATATAATTAGTATTTTATTATAATTATTAATATTATTTATTCGAATCAATAATTTTAATTTGAGAAACATTATTATTTGTGATAAAAAAAATTTATTTTATTAATAATAAGTAATCGATTATTTTAATCAAATTTTTTTGTTTTGTTAATTTAACATAGTTATAATTATTTCTTTTATTTGATATAAAAATTAATTAATGAAAGGGGGGTTTATTTTTTTTTTAAATTGAAAATTTTTTGACATGCAATACTAATCGAAATTGACGAATGACGTCTATTTGGTATCATGAAATTTTTAGCAAAGTGCATATATAGCGAGGGCCGTTTACTCAGACCTTGTTAGTCTTGTCTGTTCAGAGAGAATTAATTACTTTGCTGTTTAGATCCAGTTTGCGTTTCATCGTCAATGGTTCAGTGGTTAACATACGTGTTTATGTACACACCTGATGTGATAGTTTAATTTACATAATGTACATATAATCAGACATTAATATCATTGAAAATTCCTTAAATAGATATGTATATTGCATCCAGTGTTTGTAACATTGAAAAAAAAGTATATATTAATTTTTCTCATTCTTAAAATTAAATTTCTTTTTTTTAGTAAATCTTTTTTTTGAAAAATCGTTTTTTGTATATAATAACACCGTTTGACAAAATTCAACTTTTTTTTTACCCACAAAAAAATCTAATATTTTCAGAAAGTAGGACTCAAAAAAAAAAATACCCGTATCTGGCCGTTTTGCTAGATCAAGTCGTTTGTGGTTTTTAGGGGTGAAAACAGCCCCTAAATAAAAAGTGACAAGATACACTGAAAAAAAAATTTATTTGATTCAAATACTCAATTACTTGACTATTATCAAATAAATATTTATTTGTATCAAATAATAATTATTATTTGAGTTAATTAAATGGTATTTGTTTCAAATACAAAAATTATTGATTCAAATACAATTTATTTAATTCAAATAAAAATTATTTGGTTCAAATAAATATTTATTTGATAATACACAAGTAATTGAGTATTTGAATCAAATAAATTTTTTTTTCAGTGTATTTTTTAAAAATTATTAATATTTCATAAAACCTCGGTGTCTGGGAGTATTCGGTGTCGCTGATTATTAATCTGATGTCAGATTTTCAAAATTCAAAATGGCGGATTCAATATGGTGGTCAAAATTTTAAAAAGTTATTAAATTTTTTTTAAACCTTGGTATCTAGGGTTTTTTTTGGGTCGCTGATAACGAATCTGATGTTAAATTTTCAAAATTAAAAATGTCGGATATAAAATAAAAAATTAATAACTTTTTAAAAATTTGATCGCCATATTGGATCCGCCATTTTGAATTTTGAAAATCTGACATCAGATTAATAATCAGTGACACCGAAAACCCCCAGATACCGAGGTTTAATAAAATATTAATAATTTTTAAAAGATATCTTGTCACTTTTTATTTAGGGGTTGTTTTCACCCCTAAAAACCACAAACGACTTGATCTAGCAAACCGGCCAGACACGGGTATTTTTTTTGGGTCCTAGTTTCCGAAAATTTTTTTGTGGGTGAAAAATTGTTTCGGACGGTGTAATATCAAAATGAAAAATAAATATTCTTTATTTTGAGTGGATTACTTTTTTTTTTTTACTGAAAATTTCCCTTCAAAAAAGGTAATTAAAATGTTTTAAAAAAAAAATATTACCTAAATATTAATGTAATTGATATTTGCATGAATTGTGTGTATGTAATTTTGAATTCTCAACACCGTTCATCAGTTTAAACAAGGGTGGCAAGACATTTGGAATGTGGCATGCAAAATGCAGTTTGCGTGTGGAACGTTCTTGCATAGCTTTCGTTAAAGCGCTTAAATTTATATTATCAACTCACTATTATCGAACAGGGCGCGCGATCCATATGAAAAGGAAATTCACAAGAAGTCTAAATAGGAAATGTCAACATATATATATATATATATATATATATATATATATATATATATATATATATAGTTGTCAGAGGAAAATACATTAAATTTTCTTTTACTTCCAAAAAAAAAAACGATTTTATTTTTAATCATTTATTATTAGTTTTTTCTTTTTATTTTCTTTTTCTTCTTTTTTTTCATTTTTTATTAATGATCCATATATCGCGTGACTAACAGAGACCATATAATAGGAAAAGTATTATAATTTGTATTATTCATGTATAATATCAGTCGAAAATTTATAACTTATTTATGATTTAAAATTTTTATTTATTATCAACGTTTTTTTAAATCTTCCATTTTGATCAAAATATATTTGCATTTATCCTCTGTGAGTACTTGACTTAGTGTCCTTTTTTTTATTTATTTTTTATATATAAAAAAAATTAATTTTTCATAATAAACATAGTTTTTAAATAAAATATAGAAAAAAACCAAATTTTTTCACTTAATAAAATATTAAATTTTTTAATAATAAAATAGTTGATTTTTTAAATAATAATTAATTTTTTAAATAGAAAATTAATTTTTTTTTTTGAATAAGTTTTTTTAAGAGTTTTTCTAGTTTTTAAAAAGATCTGTTACTGAAATTCCTTTAGGCTGTGTGACACAAAATATTGTGAATAGTGTAGAAGTGAGATCGTTATAACACAAAGGGTGCGACTTTGTATTGTTTTTTTTTTTTTTTTTTGAGAGGCATCTAAGTGTTAGTTTATTGTTACCGGCTAGCCACTGGGCAAAATGTTCTTCAATATTTAATTATATGATGATCATTAGGACAGTCAACTACTAAACTCTTTAAAAATTCTCTCCTATTTTTCTTCAGCTTTTCCTTCTTTTACGAAAATCAAAAAAAGTCTTTGTAAAAATAATAATTTATTTATTCAATTATTAATAATAATAATAATAATAATAATAATAATAATAATAATAATGATAATAATAACAAAAATAATTATAATAATAAAAAATATAAAAATACACTGAAAAAAGGGTTTGTTATTGACAACCAAACATTTGGTTGGTATTTAAGCAATCAAAATTTTTTTGTTGAATCAACAAAATTTTGGTTGACCCAATTAAAATTTAGTTAGAATCCTTTTTTTCTAACTTTGGTTGTGTCAAACAAATTTTGGTTCAGACAATTAAAATTTTGTTGATCCATAAAAAAAATTTTGGTTGCTTAAATACCAACCAAACTTT